ACATTAAACACTGCATTTTAATTTGTGTTACATGGCTGAGTAAATAACAAACACTGGACTCACCAAAATCGACAGCAAAAAACTCTTGTTTACATAAATGCCACGTAAATCCAGTGCGCAACACTTTATTCGCTGTCCTCCACGATAACGTCCACCTTTCCATATCTTTGGTTTGAACACCAACGCATCGACATGTGAGGGAAGGAGGCTTGACCGCTTTCGGGTGACAGTGTTGCCTGCCAGGGAAAAAACCCTCTCACTCGGGGTGCTTGTGGCTGGAATAGCCAGGTAGCTCCTCGAAAGCGGGGGAAGCGGTGCACGTTTTCTGCCCACCACTCCAGTGGATTATCCATTGTGGGGATATGCGGTGTCCGCTGGCAGTAATCCCGTAGCTCATCATCCGCATCACTGTTGACCCGTGTTTTCTTGCTGTTCGTTTGCCTCTGTTCAGTGCTGACGCCGGTCCGTTGCTCACTGGTGCTAGCATTACTGCTAGTGCTAGCTGTCAGCAGCGGGTGTTTCACCTTCAGATGGTTGCGCATAGCAGATGCATTTGTATTGTACTTCAGTACAGCTGTACACAACTGACACTTCACTGTGGAGTTGGTTACATCTTCGTTGAAGTACTGCCATACATAAGAATGTCGGACGTGTTTTGTAGCATTTTGCAGCACCTCGTTTACCTCCATTTTTTTCACGACTAGTTGACTAGGGCCTACAGCGCCGACTAGTGGTAAAGGTAGTCGACTAGTCGATTAGTTGGTGAAACCCCCTAGTGTGTGTTTGTGTGTGTGTGTGAAGTTCAAAGTGCATTTGTACTCTGAGGGGAGGAGGGATAACCTGCTAACTACCATGATGAAATCTCTCTTTTGTTCACTAAACACACACACACACACACACACACACACACACACACACACACACACACACACACACACACACACACACACACACACACCCCATCAGTTAAGGTAATCACAACCACTTATGGTACACATGTTGTTGTTTTTTAAGAACGCTGGATGTAAACAGTCATATCATTTGTACTGACCTCCTAGCTAAGATTATACCAACAGATGAGATAAACAACATCTAACTATCAATGCTTTGTGTCCCAAAGGCAATATCTTTATTTCAAAGACCCCCCCAAGACCACAAGAGGTCAGGAAAATATCAACACAGACTATTAAAAGGTTTTGATCAATAGACTAATGCCATTCTTTTTTTCTGGTTAGGTTTCTGATCAAACTTTTAAATATGTAATTATCCCGACAACGTTGATAAGAGGTCACAAATTGGGACATTTCCCATGTATTAAACCAAGACGGGCAACTGGCAGTGTATATACTGTACATATAAATAATAATACATTTAAGCATAAAGACTTCTATTTTCCAGTGGAGTTTAATGCTTTACAGTACTTTCATCGTATCAAAACCCTGTTTCTGTTTTTTAACAGAAATAGTGAGGTTAGGAATTAGTTTGGGGTTTGTAAAACTTTACTCATGGAGATTAAGAATTTTCTTCAAATGTAACCTTTCTCTTTCTGTCAGGCGCTGTTTCCAGACGGCCCACTTCTATGTGGAAGACAGCGACTCCCCCAGGGTGGTCCCCAACGAGACAAACCCCGTCATCCCCATTCCAGGTAACAACCTGACACAGCACATTTATAATTCCTATGCAAAACTCGTAAGAGATTTCAGAAGTGTTATTTATTTGTTTGTTGATGTGTAATGGAACATATTTTGGTAGTACAGGACATTGTGCTCTCAAGCATTACCCACTGACTGGACCTCATTTAAGGATCAAACAGGTTCACTCTGTTTCCCTCTGATATCTCGTATTGGAGAATCGGCAGTTGTTAAATATTTCTCCACAGCCCGACTACTGTAACTGCTCTCAGATACTCTGTTGTCACCGTCAATGTTGCAGGTCTTGTGGCTCAGAGCTGCTAATATGGCTGATAATAAACATTGTCGTCAATAAAGAAATGTTTAATTTAATGATGTGAACAGATTTCACATAACTCTAAAAAGCAATACAATTACATTTAAATAAAAATTACTAATTTTAACTAACCTAATACAGTTAAGTGACATTTGTTGACATAATTCATTTAATTTAAAGTCAATTTTTCAGTTATTTCAGTGTAGATGATTGTTGATCAATGAGCTTTCACCTTTAAAAGCTGTCTCTCAAATATTTTTCAAGAGATTATTGGCTGGTTTGGGTGAACAAAGTTTACCTTGGTTTAACAACAACATCGAATGTTGAGAGTAAGTGATAATTCTGTATGAATTTAGTTTTTTTTAAATGTAAGGCCCAGGACAGGGGTGATGAATAATTACAAAAAACAGACATAAAACCTCGGCAGAGCCTGAAAGCTGCTCCAGCTGGAGCCCCCAGATCCAGGATTTGGATCCAAACCTATAAAATCAATTAAAGCGTGTGGGGCCTCTTCACAGTACAATGGGCCTTGGCTCAGTTCAAAGTTCAAAGGGCCAATGTGCCCAGCACGGCAGAGTCCAGAACAGACATAGAGGGTCTGCCATTGGTTTTATTTTTTCTCTCAGCAGGATCTGAGCCCGTTTTGGAATCAACATTATGCACTGTGGTGTGATATCGTATGATATTGTGATGACCACTGGAAGTGTAGCTCGACGGACATTTGAGACTGAATATCAGGGACTGTGTGTGGGCATCAGAGTGTGTGCAGCAGACAGGGTGCTGTCTGACCATATGTTAGCTGTGTTAATTGTCTCAATAAGCTCAGGCCTAGAGCCTCACACATCCCATAATCCGCTTTAAGACCTAATGCTGAATATAAAGCTGCAGGCAGCAGCACTTACCAGAGCACCTTCCATTAAACACACACACACACACACACACACACACACACACACACACACACACACACACACACACACACACACACACACACACACACACATGCTATTGTGTAAGTGACTGTACTCCACTGTCTGAAAAATATGTCAAAGCAATAAAAAGAGATTGGGTCCATTCTCCTTGTAGCTAATTGGACACCCTGCCTGCTGTGTTAACTGACACACCAATCATTTTTGACATATTTGCATACCTAAATGAATATCTTGCAAGACAGAGTGAGAGCGAGCGAGTGTGTGCTCTTATTAATATTTGATGAAGACTAAACTGAGGGGCACACTGAGAGAGTTTTAGCTGTTTTTTCATCCTCTTACTTGACCGGGCCCCAATCCTCTGGGTCCAGTTCAGCTACAGTATGCATGCTGTCAGCCACTGAAGAACGACCACTTGGCTACAGTTTGTCTGCAGCAGCTGAAACATGCACACAGTCCTGAGCTGTCCTGCTTAAAGCTCCCACAACCTACATCAGAAAATGACTTATGCAAGCTTTCTTGTTGTGATTGGACTCACGCACCACTTAGTTCCATGAGAGAACATGCTATGCTCATATCACTGGTCTTTATTAACATCTAGCCATCTATTTTGAATATCTAGGGCAGGGATGGGCAAATGGCGGCCCGCGGGCCGCATGAGGCCCCCACCTCCTCTTTTTGCGGCCCTCAGATTAATTTATAAACAACGTAATTAATAAAAAATTAAAAGATGTTTACATTTTTCTTTTACCTGTAGTACTGATACCGTCCACTAGACTCCTAGTTACGTCGCGAGGTGCATACATGATTTCAAATACCGCGAAATAATCTCTGACGCATTTGTGTGTATTCTGTTTGTTTCCCGGGGAAACAATAACAAGAAACACCGGTTGTTGTTATGCCTGCTGTGACGTTAAGTTGCCTCTTGTAATTATGCCTTCACAAGCTTAAAAGTTGTTTTTATCATCTGAATTTGGCAAAACAAGTTTAATATTCTTAAAACCAAGACTTTGGTTATTTGAAATCAGATGAAAACAAACTGTCACGGACCCTGCCGTGTTATCTATGATTATTACGCTTTTCATTCATAATTTCAGAGGGAGGGAGGGGGAGTGGTGCTGAGGAACAGCATAGTGCAGGCTGACAGGTCTCTGTGTTGACATTCCCCTTATTGTGGAATAAGGGGAATGCAGAGACAGGCTACAAGTGTTTTAGGTTCAAGTTAGACAACTAATGTCTGGGTTAGTGTTCATGAATTCATGTGTATGTCATCTTAATGGTTAATCTCAAAACACACATTTTCCGTGCTTTCCAATAGTTTAAAATAGTTTTATTCCACTGTTTAATAACCTGTTCAATACAAACATGCCACTTGCAAAAATGAAATGACATTTCTGTGAACTGATATTTGTTTAGTGAGCTTATTAGAGGATGTTCCCATTTTTTGGGGTTGTTCCCTTTGATTGTAAAATGTCAATGAAGATGTCAGACTTAGTATATTTGTTAATAATTACATACAACACATGGAATTTTTGTGTGAGTGTGTTCCAAGTGAATCTGCGGCCCCCTGGTGGCCAGTACATCAATGATGTGGCCCCCACACCATCAAAGTTGCCCATCCCTGATCTAGGGTAATAAATAAACATAACAGTGAATACAAATAAATGGAAATGTTGCCTTGACCTACGACAAGGACAACTTTCTATCTCTTTGTGGTTGCAGGCATACATCACTCCCAGAAGATTTGATAAGGACTTCCATCTTGACCTTGGTAACCAGAGGTGGGAATTAACTAAGTAATGATGTGAAATAGAATCAAGTGTTGAATCAGACTTTAGTTCCACCTGGAGTAAATCCACAAGCTACCCTGCAGTATACAAAGTCATTCAAACTAGCTGCACCTTTACCAGCTTTGAGAACACTTTCATATCATATCATATATATTATTCTGAAATGGAACAATCTGCACAATCACTACTTTTACTGTCGCTACTTTCACTATATGTTGATGAGAATACTTTTGTACTTTTACTTGAGTAACATTCTGAATGCAGGACTTTTACTGTAATAGAGTATTCCTACACTTCTACGTTTACTCAAGTACAAGATCTGAATACTTCTTCAACCTTTGTTGGTAATTTAGCAGATGGAGATTTCACGGTTGAAATTAAATTGTAGTCCTATTTCGTCCCTACTGACCACCAGAGGCGGTGCTTTAGCACTGGATATATCCATTGCACGCATGCGCAGTTCGAGTACCTAATGACAACAAAGTCACCTGTGACCCACGTGACGACGGCTACATAGGCCGGCGTCATTAGCAGATTGTTTCCTTTTCATCTTCTCGCTTCGCGAGAGTAGGCCTACCATGGTTGCATTTTTGTAACCTACAAGCGTTTGTAGGAACGTTAGATCTAAGGATTTC